AAAAAAAAAAAAACTATCAAAAATTTTTATTTCATAGGTCAGGAAGATTATGACAGACTGCGTCCATTAAGTTATCCACAAACAGATGTGTTTCTTGTTTGTTTCTCAGTTGTGTCTCCTTCGTCGTTTGAAAATGTTAAGGAGAAAGTAAGTAGAACAAGTAAGGTAAAGTTCTTGATCGATGGCTACTTAATTCATCAACCAAAATTTTACAGTGGGTACCAGAAATAACGCATCACTGTCAAAGGACCCCATTTTTATTAGTAGGGACCCAGATTGACTTGAGAGATGATGTAGCAACGATCGAAAAACTTGCAAAGAACAAACAAAAGCCCATATCCATTGAACAGGGTGAAAAACTTGCCAAGGAATTGAAAGCTGTAAAATATGTTGAATGCAGTGCTTTAACTCAGGTAAGATTGTTATTAATAAATCAAACCACAAAGACTTTTTTGATTTAATTTTTTTTAATTTAAATTTGCAGAAAGGATTGAAAAATGTCTTTGATGAAGCTATTCTCGCTGCATTAGAACCACCAGAGCCTCCTAAAAGCAGGAAGTGTTTTCTTTTGTAAGATGCCCTAGTCTAGTGTTCAGCCAGTCATTGCGTGGATATGTAAGTGATCAAATAATGAACATAGTAACATGCTAATATTACAGATGAATTTAAAAAATGATTCTAGTGACGCACTTGAAGCTGCTGTGTTCGATGCGACAACGGCAATTAACTCTTGTGCGGCTAGTTAATCAGTAATTACAACATCAGAGCCAGACAACACATTCCGAAATTTTGAGAAAGAAAAAAAAAACAATTGAATTAGAGATTTTTGAGACTATGTATCGAGTGTAATTCGACAAATCGGCGATTGTCGATTTTTTTATCACATTTCCCTAATGATAATCTCCAGGTACTACACGCTCGCGTATAATATACTCATTTGCGTAAATTTAAGCCGTGATTTTGGCACTTTTTGACAAATTCTATTGAGTATATATGTGTATAATATATACTAAGGGAACACACAACATAGTGCATTTTCGGGACCGCACCTAATTCGTTATTTTTCTGTATTGAACGATGAAATTTTGAAAAAATGATTCGCCGGCACATAGAACTGACTGATTTAATTAGGTAATTTAATTACTATCGTTAGTTGACAGTTGCAGTAACCCATTATAATTAATATTCTAATTATTACTAATATATTATAAGCAACTGTGCGACGTCGAGAGTACGGGTATGTATGATTTTAAAATAGTGTCGTCAGAATTTTCGTAATGTTTTTTAAAGGTTGTAGCCAATTTTTGAGATATTATTTATGAAAAATACTTGAACAGTATTGAATCATGTATTTTAAACAGTTGTGAGAGAAAGAAAAGCGAAAGTTGAATAATTAATTCGATGAAAGAGAGAAAGCTCGTTATATTTTTGTTGATACGAAATAACCGCGTCAACGCAAGCAGGGTCTAATGTTTTAATCTTCGAAAGCGTAAAATTTATTTGTATGGCCTCTCTCACGTTTGATCATTGTACTTGTTATCGTATCGAATAACTGTATATGTTAATCCAGGCAGGGTTAAATTTAATTATCGAAAGCGTAAACTCGGAAGAGATTATGATTAATTTGTACGTCCCTCTTACAATGGCACACATTGTTATGTAAGGAATATTCTTGAATAAACATTAAATTACATTTTTACGCCACTTTGCATCTTATCTTGGAAAACCACGACAGGCCTCACTTGTTTATCACCCAATTTTCTCTCTAATCCACGAAAACCCAATTTTCTCCTCTCGCCTTGAATTAGATCTATATCCCCCACCTCGAAAGAGAACAAAAGAAGGCATCACCCAAAATGGCCTCGTATCTAATCAGATCCTAGCTCGAGATTACAACCCGCAATAAAAACGCTCGTCCCTTTTTTTTTTTTTTTTTTTTTTTTTTACCCCTCAAAGGTCTCTTTCGTGCTTGTAAAATGGCCCGAGCGTACAAAGGGAAGACGAGCCTCGAATCGATCATCCGGCTGCTAACGAAATAAGGCCCATACGGACACTCGTGTATTAACTGCATATACATTCTGCGGGCCCTGACACCGGCCACCGGCTGCGGGACGAGTTTCTTTCCACGAAAAAAGGCCAACTGTGCGCCTATAATATAAACCGGCCGCGCGGCTCAGTGGGGAGTTGTTTCTTGGCACCTTTTGGGAACGAGCGAGTGTCGTTTTCACCTTTCGATTTGTGTGCGACGGGACGAGCCGGCCGGAGACAACGGAGATGCACGTTTTTTCGGGAGGTAATCCTTACATTTTTTCTCATCGACGTACACTGTGACTTTAAAGCTCCATTTTTTTTCTTTTGTCTCAACTTGCATCGTCAACGGCTACGCGCGCCTTATGGATAAGCACAAATTCGAAGCAAAAATCGCTCGATGTCTCTTATGCAATTTCACCAAAATGCCAAACTTTGCGCAATCGAAGCTTCGAAAGAAATAAGGCAACGACGCGCTACGTGTACGTTTAACGATTACCCACGAGTTGGCTCGTTCGATCTTTGGGGCGAAAGAATCACTCGGCCACTCGAAGATGATCCAATTACATCGGTGGGTGGGGGGGGCGAGCTAATCCACGTAAAATGGTACACCTAAATTGTTTACTACCGATTCGAGCCTCCACTCTCGAGGGCTAATGCGCGATGAGAAGGCACTTACGTGATTTGACCTTTGTGTACGCTCATACAGGACTCCAGGGAGACACCCCCTCTGATACGTTTGAACACGACATGCCCGTGAGGGTCGTACGCATCGGGTGAAGCTACATCAAGTGACTTGAGCCACGTATTTTCTTGGTTTATACAATTGTCGCTCGTACAGCTTTTGTTGCTAAAAGTAACTGTAATTACACGTCATTAAAAATACAAATGAATCGTTAAACCGAGGTAAAAAGTTTAAGCTCTATAAACGTATATTGTGTCTGGTCATTTTTCGCTTCTTAATGTTTCATATACATTCTTCAAGATTATGAATCTTCATCGAGGCCTTGCAACGTTGCTAAAAATTCGTATTGCTTCATGTATAACCATTGCAGCAAATATATAATTTTCTGTTGAATATCGATGATTGGTTTAAAATATGTAATTTTTTTTTTACAAATTAAAATTAAGAATTAATTTTCAAGTGACGATTAATAATTTACGTTAATTTTTTAATGCAAGTTTTTTCAATGAAACGTTGAATTTCATTAATTTAATTGTTTGGATGAATACGTCGTAAACGACACTTTTCTTCCCTTATCTGCTTATTTCTTGTTAGTTAAGTTTGAGAACAGTTCAATAACATTCAACATTACATACTTGAATCATTTAAAAATAAAATTTGATTTTTAATTGAATCTTACTTGATGTTATTGAAACTATAACTTGATAAAGAGTCTAATTAAATTGTTAATTACATTTTGAATAAATTAAACGATTAAGTGTAATTATCAATTGAATTTTAATTAAACTGAAATTTAAGTGAATTATTTAGAACCCTGTAAACAATGATTTTTCGCACTGTAAAGGTGTTTTTGCACATAAAGCAATTACTTTGCTGACCAATGCGGTAAACATCTTATGGAATCACATTTATATATTATCGACGATAAAAAATATAAAAAAGTTGTCCAATGGGCGAAGATTTGATTGTTTATGCAAAATTAGGCAACACTATATCAGCTGTTCTGTATGGTTATATGTCACAACTCTTGAACTCTCATACATGAGTTAATCGCATCGGGCAATATTTTTTCTTTTTGATTCCGTAAGGTAATAAAAGAAGAAAGAGAAAAATACGCACGAGTAGTTTCTCTCGAGAGTACCCATACAAGTATACACGCACATCAAAGGAAAGCAATCAAAAAGGCGATATTACACCGACTCTGTAATGCGCACATGCTTTTCTCTTCAGCGGTGTTCCTATACTTATAAGTAATAATAACAACGCGAGGGGCACGTGTGCAATTTTCCGTCAGTCGTATACATTGTAAGTATACACTTGTGATACTTACCCATACGCAAAGTACAAACAACGGGCATATACAAATATATACCGCTTTTGCGATTAATCCACCATCACGGGATTTTACTCAAGCAAATGCAAGCAAAGATTTACATTTATAAAAGCACATTCTGTTATACATATCATCACTCCATGACCTTGACAGGTTTCATTTTGCGGTAAGTCGAAGCTAAAGATGCATTTTCTCGTGATTTTTAATCACGTATTGATGATGTAATCCATTGTATGTGCCAATAAAGTTTGCTTATGCCACTGTGTTATATAAAAATAAACTTTAAAGCTAAAATATATCACAGTTAAGTATCTGCTAAAAAGAAAAAAAATAGTAGTTTTCCTACGAGTTTGAAAAGTCTCTATTTGCGAACCGAGAGGTTTGCGGCCCGAGCCGAAGGCGAGGGACTTAACGAGGTTCGTAAAGGAGACTTTTCGAACGAGTTCCGGAAAACTGCTTTTTCGCCCGAGGAAGTACCAGCCTCCCAAAACCACCCGAGTGCGGAAAAAAATGTTTTTCTCTGTACCTACTGCGTTGTAAATACAGTAACCTCACGGTAAAGTAAAAACGGTTTCAACAAAAATCATGCAGACTAATTTTTTGTATAAAAAATGTGTTTTATTCGTACCTTCTGGAATTTAGACTTAAAAATAATTGTTCCGCTATACGACTACTTTTGGTCTAAAATAATATTCTAATTTGTCACGATCTCCTACTCCATGGCACGAGAAAATTTCAACTTGTGCTTGTTTTTTTTTTTTTTTTTTTTTTTTTTTTTTTTGGGGNTTTTTTTTTTTTTTTTTTCTCGTATCGTTCCTATGTAATGTATTTAGTGGGAAACTTTGTCACCCACGCGGGTATAACTTATATATATATAAAAATTCGAAAAATTTAACCTTGGACGCCTCAAAATCCAAATTACCTATATTATATACATACGAGCCTATGCCTCCTAGATCCTCCCGCGATTCCTATCTACACACATACGGTTTCCCCGCTCCTCATCCCAGCGGGCGCGATCTTCTCCCGCAGCTATATCCCCCCCGTATCGCCTTGTCTTCTCCCCAACGCGCATTACTCAGGCTCTCTCCTCTTGTTGGCACGCGTGGGATGTGCGCGTAAAAATGACTTGTGTCAACGTTCAGGTACAATATACTGGGCCCAATATATGTATATGTAACGACCCCCCGCGTCTCCCGTGAATCCTGCGGGTGGGCCCGTGAGTTGTCGTTGCCCCGGTTGTTCTTTTCTCCTCTTCCTTTTTCTCCAAAAAGTCATACACGTATACGTATAGGTACATTAGCTCGTTGCGTATACAGGGCACATTATATTACCGAGGCAAAGGTGTACAATGTCTTTTGCTTGTATATGTATATTGGTCGTTGTTGTGGCCTGGCGTGTTTCCACAAATGTCACGCATAAAGGCACGTATATAAGGCAGAGTCGTCGCATTAGGAATATTTTTTTTTTTTTTTTTTTTTTTCATACTTTTGTAAACAAAGACAAGGGCGTTCCCGCTTAATTTTTGGTTTCGTTCGTCCCCACTGGGGCGAGAAGAAAAGCAAAATGTCGTCGAGCCACACACGCGGTGGTGTTGTAATGTCTTCTTCGGAGTCGGAGTCTGTACGTGTATATAATATGTAGGCATGACTTGGACATTCTCCAAGAGAGACGCTTGTGCGGTCGATGCTATACATGACCGATACGGGGGTTTTTCAACGCCACTCGCAACTAAAAATTAAATCGGAATTCGTTTTTTTTTTTTTTTTTTTTCCTTTTTAAACGCTTTTTCCTGCATTATAAACATCATCGGATAAACAACAGGGTGTACCCATGTATGCACGGAACGCGGGGGAATTTTTTACTCCTTTCGTCCCACCTCTTATTCTTCTTCGTCGCGGCTTCCTCTTTTTTTTCTTCGCGCGTGCGCGCAGTCATCGTGCCCTGGAGGGTGTGGACCCCTTTTTGTCTCTGCATGCACATATAATACGTGGATCTGAGGTAAAAAATGGAGTGTCCTCACGGCATATAGGAGCTACTTGCTTGTCCTATCTCTCCGCACGGTCGTGTCGGATGACACGCTTTTGTGCGCGGTGTCGTTTCTCATAGTTGGCGAGCTGAAATGTCAAGCTATCGCGGAGGTATACGTTGGGCAATACATATACGTATAAAAAGGGGCGTCGAGGGAATCGATTTGCCATAGAGAGGAAGGTGAAGTGACGTCGTTGCCTTTTTTGACAACTCTGACTTATAGGTTGATTATCAATCTATGGGTGATTGGTCGTATGGAAGAAAAATTAATTCTGTTAAGTTTTGGTGCTCTTCCGAATTCGACAGTTTTAGGAGTATGTTTAGAGCAATTTATTGAATTTTTCCAAATTTTTTTTTAACATCTCATCAGTTGCTGCTGGAAAAAGCTCATATTTTATTATGAAGTGACTTTTTCCATATTTTTATTACTCCTTAGAGATCAGGTGACATAATTATGTCATCAACAAATATAGTTCCAAAGACGAAAAATAAAATTTTAATTTTTCAAAGCATACTTTTTTGTGAAATTTCTTACGTAGGTACACCTGCAGCGATTGCATTTCTGAATAATACAACTTACGATACAGCGCAAACGCTCGGTACTCGAGAGCTGAAGATGAAATAAAAAAAAAAAAA